CAATAGGGCAACTATAGTTAATAGTAGTTTATTTTATATTTCACAATGTTCTCAACACAAGGAAACAATAAATGTTTGAGGTGATGACTATCCCAGTTACCCATATCTGATCATTACACACTGTATACTTGTATCAAAATATCACAGGTACTCTATAAATATGTACAACTATTATGTTTTCATAAAAATTAAAAATAAATTGAAAACTCAACTATTAATTGTTCTACTTCATGGACATAACATAGTTTTCCATTTATTTGTGTTTTCTTCCATTTTCTTTCATCAGTGTTTTCTAGTTTTCAGTATACAGTCCTTTCACCTCCTTGGTTAAATTTACACCTAAGTATTTTATAATTTTTTTGTTGCTATTGTAATGGGATTGTATTCTTTTTTTTTTTCTGCTTCCCGGGTTCAAGCGATTCTCCTGCTTCAGCCTCTCGAGTAGCTGGGGTTACAGGCGCCCACCATCACGCCTGGCTAATTATTTTTGTATTTTTTAGTAGAGACAGCATTTCACCACATGTTGGTCAGGTTGGTCTCAAACTCCTGACCTCAGGTGATCTGCCCACCTCAGCCTCACAAAGTGCTGGGATTACAGGCATGAGCCATCATGCCCTGCTGGGATTGTATTCTTAATTTCCATTTTGGATAGCTCAATGTCAGTTTACAGAAACAGTCAGTCACCCTCTCTGGATAAAGCATGGGTACTCAGCAATTAGCAATAAACCCTTTAGCTAATTTCTAAGTTGCTTTCATTGTTACTTTATCTGTTTGATTTCTTGACTAAAGTCTAAAGTTTGGTAATGGCAACTAACACATTTTTAAGATAAATTAAAATGGATAATATGCATGTGACATGCTGTGAAAATTGCATGACTTCTTTTAATTAATTTAAGGAAACTATAGTAGTCAGGGCTTTAAACCAACCTGGTGCAATTTATTTTCTGCTAAATTACAAAGTTATTTGATTGAATTGACAAGTAATATTGCTTTGTTTTATTTTTAATTCATTACTGTGCAAACTCATATTTGGGGACTGTAAGATTATATATAAAACCTTGAACCACCTTTAAATAACTATATTTTAATTTATTAAGCCACAAACAGTTTAGTTATGTTGTTCTGAACAAGTATCTTTACTATTTTTTCTCTGCAATAGGAATAGAGATTTCTTTTGCTCTTCTATCTCAACTGAAAAGAATGTGTTTTCTGGATCACTGGCATTGTCTCCTTCCATAGTATTCAATAAATATATGCATTTCATAGTGTTAGGCTTGTATAAATGCACTACTAACTTCTCTTCACTATAAATGAACTTGAACAACTCTCATATCTACAATTTCTAGTACCAGAAAAGTGACATTTTCCTTTAAAGTGGGGAATAGGCCTTTTGAGGTCATGGTGCAGTCATATATTTCCTTTTATGACAATTATTAGCATCACGTGAGGGCAGAGAGGAATGTAAAAAAGAAATATTACTTCAAGTTAATAAGCTACAATCTGCCACCACTGATGGCATGTCCACTTACAGCTCACCAGCCAGCTCTTCGTCAATAAGTATTGCTTTGCAGTGGTTTGTAACTGAATTGTATGATGTAAGTGTGGAGACAGCCAATCATAATGTTACAGGATCTTTGGGGTGTCGATTTTCTTGCCCAGAAACCTCTGTGGCCAGTGGCATCTTTGCCTGAGTTCTTGTCCTGCATCCGGGAAGAATGAGGTACGCAGATAAGTGAAGGGCAAAGATTAAGAGTAGTTTTATTTAGTTTTAGAACAGCTCAGAGAAGACCCACAGTGGGTAGTTCCTCTGGTCCGGTGGAGTGTTCAGCTTTCAGCAGAGAGGAGACCCTAGAGAGTGTGGCTTCTCTCCACAGGCTGGTCATTTGGAGGTCTTTGCAGGTCTCTGAAGCTCTCAGTAGAGAGGATAGTTCCTCTCTGCAGCTTGTCATCCCATTGTCTCTCTGTACTCTGCCCTCTCTGGCACAGCCCAGGGCTTTTATGGACCTCAGAGGGGAGGAAGTAACTGCCAACTGGTCCATGGGCAGCCATGGGCAGCTGAGATCCCCAGTCCTGTCCACAGGATTGGCAATCTGGCTCCCAGCCTTCAGGCCCTCCCTGGCTTGAAGGTGGGACTTTCCTGGGGACCCACCTGCTTCTGCTCAGGACTCTCCCCCTCCCCCTGCCATTCAAGGCCCCAGGGCTCGACTCCAGCTCCATTGGGAGGGCAGATCCTGTCTGTTCCCGGCCCCCTCCAAGAGCACAGGGAGGCTTGGATCCACAGCTGCAGTTTGGGCTGGGCTACAGCCTGCTCTTTAGAGCAGGAGGCCTGGGTCTGCAGCACCATCAGGGAACTCATACCCCAACTCAGAAGGGGTGGGGCTCCCACCAGCTCCACGGAGTATGCAGGCCCAGCCATGCCTCCCTGCTGCAGCCTGCGTGATGGCAGCAGCTGCTGCCATCAATGAGAGAATAAAAAAGACAAAATTTACCAATATCAATAATGAGAGAGGTGATCTCACTACATACATTACATATATTAAAAGGCATAATAAGAGATTACAATGAAAAGCTGTATGCCAGCATGTTTGACAGCTTAGAAGAAAACACAAATTCCTTGAAAGATATAAGCTACTGACACTGACTGAAGAAGAAATAGATGCCATGAATAGTCTATTAATTAGACTGAGTTTATAGTTAAAAATCTTCCCACAAAAAAAAAAAAAAATTCCAGGCCCAGATGGCTTCGCTGAAGGCTTTTAACAAACATTTAAGGAATAAATAACAAATAGACATAAACTCATTCAGAAAATTGAAGAGGAGAGAATACTTTTGAACTCATTGACTTTTTTTTTTTTTTTTTAAGATGGAGTTTCACTCTTGTCACCCAGGCTGGAGCGCAGTGATGCGATCTTGGCTCACTGCAACCTCCACCCCCCGGGTTCAAGTGATTCTCCTGCCTCAGCCTCCTGAGTAGCTGGGATTACAGGCGCCCACCACCACGCCTGGCTAGTTTTTTGTATTTTTAGTAGAGACGGGTTTCACCATGTTGGCCCGGCTGGTCTCGATCTCCTGACGTCGTGATCTACCTCCCAAAGTGCTGGGATTACAGGCGTGAGCCACCATGCCTGGCCTAGACAGACATTTTAAGAAAATAAAAATACAGTCCTTCATGACCACAGATGCAAAAAAACTTAACAAAGTTTCAGAAAAATGACTTATCCCAGGAATTCAAGTTTAGTTTACCATAATAAAATTAACCAAAGCAATCTGGCATAAAGACAAACATTCTGCAAAACAACTTGGCAGTTTCTTAAATGTTAAACAGATACCTACCATATGACATAGCTATTCTTGTCTAGGTATTTACCCAAGAGAAATGAAAGGACATTTTCATATGACCATCTGTGCATAAATGTTCATAGTAGCTTATTTGTAACAGATCAAAACTGGACACAATTCAAATGCCCATCTTCAAATGAATGAACACACAAGTTGAGCTATATTCATACAATGAGATACTACTCAGCAATAAAAAGGAATGAACTATTGATACATATCACACATTAATGAATTTCAAAATAATTGTGTTGAAAGAAAAAAGCCAAAGAAAAGTAAATACTATGTGGTTCCATTTATATGACATTCTGGAAAACAGAAACTAATCATAAGAGAGGTCAGATCTATGGTTGCCAGGGATTTGAGGGAAGCAGGGAGGTTATGGGGGAGGAGTTATCAAGAGGGAGGAGAATATTTTGCAGGGATGATGCATATATTCCTTATTTTAATCATGATGATAGTTTCGTGGTTGTATACATATGTAAAAATTTAACAAGTCCTGCACTTTTAAGTATGTGTGTTCATTATATGCCAATAAAACCTCAATACAACTGTTAAACAAAAATTAACTACCAAACTACTAAATATGTATATCACTCTAGGAAATGAAAGACATCTCTTCAACTGCTTTATTGTGTCTTGACTTTTTTTTCCCAAAGGAAGACCTATATTTTGCTTCATTTCTTTCTACTCTACATTTCTTTTTACTCTGCTTTCATTTAGTTTAAAAAATAGCTCTCTGTTGGTCATTTCTAATCTGTTTTAAAGTAAATAATTGTACTGTCCAATTAGAGACTGAGATAACTCATGAATTATCACACAGGTTGTTCTCCTATAGAATGTATATGATTTTGAGTACTAATATTACACAGTGAATTTAGAATTGTGTGTATGTATATACATACCATAGTCTTATAAATAACTTCAACTTGCAATAATTAACTTGCAGTTAATTCTTACAGTAGCACGAGTTTGGGCCTCTTAAAAAAAGAACTAAAACCAACTCCCTGCCTGAGAATAGAAACACACACACACACACACACACACACACACACACAAGTTGAATAATTTTCTCACTTATAATTGTGGGCATTCATTTATGGAGTTCTTGGGAGCTATGTTAGCATAAAACCCCACCTATAATTATCATTCATATTAGGATAATATTTCACAAATGTGGTCAGTATTGTCTTCCTCAACATTAGGAGGTTAGGTAGGTGGAATAAGTTCTCGTGTTCTGTAGCACTATAGGGTAACCACAGTAAACAACAGTTTATGGCTTTTTTTTTTCAGATAGCTGAGAGAGAGGATTTTGCATGTTACCAACACAAAGAAATGATAAAGGTTTGAGGTGATGGACATGCTAATTACCCTGATTTGATCATTATACATTGTATACATCTACAGAAATATCCCACTGTACCCCATAAATATGTACAATTATGTGTCAGGTACAATATATGAATATATATAGTAAATAAATGAAGTAATTTGCCATTACTTAGCATTTTATTAAATGTATGTTTCCAAAATTGTATTTGTTCTTAAGACCTTTTGAGTGATCACAGTTTCTGCTATTCTCCATAAGGCCTCAGTTTAACAGGGTGATGAAATCTTGAATAAAACAAAGGAACGTGTTTGTATTTGCGGTGCTTCCCTTGTAGGTGAAATGGCCACCAGACCGAGGCTTTCTGGAATGCATTCATTCTCTGCAGTTGAAAGGGATGATCCCGAATCTGAAAGAAAGAGCCACAGTGACTCCAAGAGTGGAGCCAGGGCATGCTGGACACTGCACAGCTATGGCCATGTGTGTCACCGCCGAGGGAGATGTGAGAGAAACGCAGAGGGATTGCTTGTGACTGTGCCTTCTCGATGTACGATGGACCGTTCTGCTCAAATAGTAAGTGTGACCAAGGACCCGGTAAACATAGGAAACAAAGAATATTTCATTTGACATTATAAGGAATGCGACAATTATAGTCACTTGAAAGTAAACTATATCTGTTGAGAATTCCTAGTTTTAATGGGAAGAAATGTGCTTCTCTTCTTGAAAAGCCACAGGCTATTGCTTTTATATCTAATATCAGTCCTCTCTGGATTTCTCAAAGGATTTTCTGTATATCCTACCATTTTCCTTCTGTTGCTGCAGTTTGGAAGTAGTTTGTTATCAGGATTATCAAAGCATCATTGCTATTTATGACAATGACTTTAAGAAATGCAAGAATGTTTGGAACACTGCAGAAAACATATTTCAGCCTGGAAGGCAAATACTAATTTCAGGAACTATTGATCTATTATAACACAGGACCACTCAGACATTTAGCTCTAAGACTTTTGCATATCTGTTGTTAGAGACGTATAGTGGGGAGCATGACTCAGCTGCTTTTTAAGTACAAGGTGTTGTCTGCAGCAAAAGAAGAATTTGATTGTAGTATCAACAGAACCAGACAGAACTCTTTGAATATAATTATATATCTTGGAAACTGATTCATCAAAGCTATTAGATTACATAGTGTCATTTAAGCATCATTGGGCTCTGTACTTTTCATTATCTGTACTTTTCATTATGGAGTATAATAGGCTTTATTTGATACAGAAATTGGGTGTAAGATGGAAACAACTTGTGATTTTCGAATAAACTTTTGGGGATTAGTTACTTTGATGTTGTCAAGATAGCACCATAGTAAGTCCTCTGCCTTTCCTCTTGATTTATTTATAATTTAGAATCAGCTTATGATTTAAAAAAATGTGACAGGCACAGTGGCATGCACCAGTAGTCCCAGCTACATGGGAAACTGAGGCAGAAGGATCACTTGAGTGCAGGAGATAGAGACCACCCTGGGCAACGCAGTGAGATCCGCATCTCAAAAAAAAAAAAAAAAATCAATTCCCAATACCATTCCAGAACACTTTAAATTAACCAGATAAAATTGTGATCACTTCTTTACTATAACGTTAAAATGGTTCTCAGCCCATATTTGTTAAGTACAATCTAGTGTTTCTGTGCAACCTAATACATTAGAAAGAAAATTGTATTGGCATTTGAATAGGAAATAACTCTGAATGAGGGTTACTTCTTTTAGCAGTTGTGATTGAATTGGTTAGTGAAAATTATCTGTAATTTTCAGGCAATGGCTAGACAAGTGCCCAAGGCACAATAGCCGCCTCTGTGTGTGTGTGTGTGTGTTGTGTGTTGGTGTTGAGGGTGGTAACATTTCTGGGAATTTGTATTACATGAAATGATACTACCTTTCCCAAAACGACCTAGGAAGGAAGTTGGAAATCCCATTATCCTGGCTTCCTGCTGGAGCAGATACTCGCTTCTTTTTCTGACTCATGCTGATGCAACTGTATACTTAGCTTCACTTCTCCAGTAAATAAGCGAGAGCTTTATTATAAAAGACAACTTCTAATTGATTTTCAAGCTCAATCCTTTCTATGCACTCAGGGAAAATTATGGTAAACTATCTGTAAAACAATAGGTGAAAGAAGAGGAGGTAAAATTTAAATAAAAACTAGGATCCTAAATGGGAAAATAGCTTGACATTAGAAATTGATACCAAAAAATAATGATATGTAATCTAAGATGAAAATATTTTGAAGACTATCAGGATATATCCCTTAAATGTTATTTAGTTCTGAAAAATATGTATTGAAAAACTGTTATATTTTACTTTATGTCTTATATTACATGTGCTAAAATTAAAGAGAAACAAGTAGAAAAAAGTAAAGATGATATTATTATTTTATCACCCAGCTGATTTCAAGACTGGAGACATTCTTTAAATAAACCTAAATTATGACTCCTTGCACTTAAGTTTTGCTAACATAAAAAGTATATATGATTTCAGAGATTTCTGCATATTTTAGAATGAGCTCTTCAGTTGCTTGTAATTTCCAAGAAGATTACCCATTTTACCCCTTAACTAAAACTCCTGTTCCCTTACTGCTTCACTTCATGGGGATGTGACACTGACCAGAGAAATGATCACATTGAATTTCTGAGCCACACTGTTTTGTATGGTCAAAATACGATGCTCGAAGTATGATTTCACAAATCACATGGTTATTGCCATGCAAGGAGAATTTGTTTTCTTAGGCTCACAATGCTCGAAAAGGAGGAGACTAATGTAAACAAATCTACAGGGAATACACTCAAGAGATGAGGCACATTAACCACAGACAGAGGGAGTGAGTTCCAAATATTAAAATCTAGTTCCTGAAGTAGAAATGGAAGCAGGCCTCTGTGGAAAGGAAAATCGAATTAAAGTTTGAGGTGCACCTTTTTTTTCAAGTGAATTCTCTGGAAAGATGGGATCTGACACCATGGAGATCCTCAAAGACACCTAAGGTCCCTTGACACCAGTGGGTGGTGCCGGTGATGCAGGAAAGGCTTCAAAGCTCAAAGGCTGACAGGGTGGGGCATTGTTGCTGCATGAGTTCAGTCTTCCAAGAGGTGACTGGCAGGGCAGCCCTGTCATAGAATATGCTCTCAATTTTTGGAGAAGTGGCTGAGATTTACTGAAGTTCTCAGTGTTCATCGAGCTCTTATGTTTTTATGTATTTTGAAATCCAGTGGTTGAGGTCAGTAACTCACATATGATGGGTCTGATAAGCTCTGACATTGCATTCTTTTTTCCCCTCCCCGCTCCATGAGGGGAAAAAAGCTGTGTCACCCAAATCTGGAGTGCAGTGGCGTGATCTCGGGTCACTGTAACCTCTGCCTCCTGGGTTCAAGTGATTCTGCTGCCTCAGCCTCCTGGGTAGCTGGGATTACAGGTGCGAGCCAACACACACCGGCTAATTTTGTTATTTTTAGTAGAGACAGCGTTTACCATGTTGACCAGGCTGGTCTTGAAGTGGCTAGTCTTGAAGCTCCTGACCTCATGATCCTCCTGCCTTGGCCACCCAAAGTGCTGGGATTACAGGCAGGAGCCACCGGCCCGGCAGGTATGCATTCTTGAGGGGTGGAGGGAGTACAATCTAAGTTCTTGTTACAGCAAAGATAACAAACTATGTAAGTCTTTTGGAATAATTCCAAACTACATAACACACATGAGCTCCAAGCTGTACTGATTTATGTGTGTGGCTTCTCCGAGGAATATCTTTTGGTATCCTTACACGACATGGCAAATATGTTTCAAGTGAGTGAGAGTGAATGAGAAAATAAATTAGAAAAATAGTATGGCAACAATGTGGATCATCGCAGTGTTCAAGCTACAGATAAGAAAATGACATGCCCTCCAACTTTCATTCTGTTTGTTATATTTTTCGTAATATTCAAAATATTTATTGCAAAAGTTAGCATTTCAATGGTGAAATTAGATGCCTATCTTTCAGGTTGAGCTTGGCAATTTTACATGTTTGACTGTGAAATTCTGATTTGAAATGTTGCTGGGGGTCTTTAGTATTGCATATGAATAATAAAAATCAAATTTTCACTTTATATTGAAATAAGATATACAGTATTTTATATGGCAAATATTCCTTCTCCTTTTTAAGAGAAGAAGAGAAGTATTTTATATGGCAAATATTCTGTTTCCTTTTAAGAGAATAAGAAGTAGTATTTTATATGGCAAATATTCCTCTTCCTTTTAAGGTGGGTTATTAGGCCAAGTGAATTCTACTTAAAAGTTACTTTCCCAATAGTTGAGAAGTCACTTACGCCAATACTACCATGAGCAAGAAAGTTGAATTGACAGTCACTCATTCAGCCCAGTGGGACAAACCTTTCACACTAGGAAAACAGAGCCAGGCTTCCTTAACTATGCTACAGGGCAAGTCAAAACATTGAACGTAATATCTGAAAAAGCTGAAAAACATCTCTGGCTAACTAGATCTCGTTGCAGGCAGTGAGAGTGGTGGCAAATGTGAATGTATCTGTGTGGGGTGGTGGCAGGGGATCGAGAATATACGCGGTCCAAGGAAAATCTGTGGACTTTGGCAAATAATTGTTGGGTGCTCCTCTTTATTTTTTTATTATGGTGAAGACTTTGGATACACCATTTTTAATTGTACCAAAAACAAATTCTTGCGTTATTGCGATTTTTGCAATATATTAGAAATACATGAGAAAGATCACGATTTAAAAAGAGCATGATGTATGAACAAAATGTTATCTGACATACGATATCAACTTATAATTCCATGATTATATTTGTAAATATCAAAATTATAAGTAATTAATGAGAATTAGAGCCAAGCTTTTCATACTTATTTAATGTTTTTCTAAAGGAAAAACGTGGTGAGAGAATTGTAGAGAAGGCGGCGTTATCTTAATCCTTTGTCTTGATCTTTAACACGTGGTTTGTCGTGGCGCAATGATCTCCAGGGACTCCCTGGGGATAGCCAGAATCCATGGAGTGCTTGAGTATCCTTATGTAAATTATGAAGTATTTAACGTACCCACACATACATTCTCTCTTTCACTATCGTCTAGATTGACTTATTGTATTTCCCAATGCAATGTAGACTATAGTAGCATATTGTTTTAAAAATTTGGTTATTTTTTTAATTTTTGAAGATATTTTATCCATGGTTGGATGAATCCATGGATGCAGAACTATGGAAGGAAGGGGCTGACTGTAACTGAGCTCAGATGAGTTGGCACTGGAAAAGCACTTAATAGTAATCAATATTCCAGGAAAGGGTACTTAAAAAGTATCATTTGAATCTTACTCATGATAAGTTTTAAATCAAGTTTTTTCCTTTTTAGGGGTTGCAGGTCAGGTATTAGGCTAGACTGACATCAAGATTCTGATTCTTTTACTTTGATTTTGGAAACGTTGGTGATAAGCAGCTTCCATCA